AAAAAACTCTTTGGTTTACAATATAGTATATAGTATATGTTCTCTTAATAAGAATAATAATAAGAGAAGGAGCAAATGCTTATGAGTTAGGAAGGTGTTTACTATATGTTAATGGCAGATTATGAAAACTCTAAAAATGTTTAACTTTATTTAGCTTAAAGAGTTATTTGTAGTATCAACAACTCTAATTAAACAGTAGCTCCTAGCAATAAATAAACATGAATTAGCAAAGGTAGTGGGGTATCAGAATACCGAGTATTACAGTCTTGCAATTAGAATTCACTAAAGTTCATCATATTCCATCGGAACTGTGTTGTTTACAAAGCTCTGACATACACAGAGAGAAGACACCCCTGGGCACTCACAATTCCCAAGGGAGAGGGGGCTAAGGAAAGCCATGAGGCCTGGTCAGGAAAGAAGTGAGAAGCCAGGCCGGGCACACAGAGTATCAGACTCAAGTCCAAAATATTCTTTCAATCACTTTGGTTTCCTGCCACAGAACCACCGAGTTATCAAAAACACTCAGAAGTAAGAGGAAGCAGGTATTTTTACATGTATGCTATCTGAGGAGAAAAGTGAGATTTTTACAAACAGCCCAAAAATACAGCAAAGGCCATATTCTAAAAATACCGAGCCTGGATAATGGAGGCCTTCCATGTGAGTAAAACGACTTCTATACATTAGATGACAAAAGAACTTTGAACTCCTCTGTGCGTAGTTTAAAGGCTCAGCTTGACACATCTTCCCCTGCAACCTCCAGTTATTACAGCTACATCACCTTGGCCTCCGATCCTTCACATCGGCCACGATCGCACTCCAGCGGTGGTTTAAGCTGGCCAGCCTGTCTTTCAAGATGCATCCATCTGTGGGGAGCAGCTTCTGTACAATCTCATCCCCAGTTCTGTTGAGTGCTGCTACGCTGGGCTGGTGGCTGCTGATCCCTTCTTCCAGCTCCTATAACAGAGTGCAACCCAAGGCTCATTGTGCGAGTCACTTAAATGCATTGGATGCAGTAAATCCACCCAGGCACTGTGGCTTCAATTTAAGGGCCTGAGGAACAACGGCTTAGGCGAATATTTTATGATCACACCAAAACAGGCACTTCAAAACACTTTAATTACATGTCAATGAACGCACTGAATAGAAGCTCTCTGGAAGTCTACCACCACCTCATGAATATCACCAGGCAAATACAGTGAGAGAGAACAGGCTAATAATACAAAATAAATAACAGCTGTTTACAGTGAGGCGTAAGCATCAATCACATTTGATTACAGTGAATTGCTAACCTTCTTCCCCACATGTGCTTGAAAACGTCTCAAAAAAAATTATAAAAAAAAAACTATACATCCCCAAACACCTTCCCATCCTACCTCACGTAAACAAGCCTCAATGTGTATATTGTTGAGGCACTGCTTCACTGCTTGGCAAATTTTAAGCACCAGATTAAAAAAGAATTTTTTAAAGTCAAATTTAAACACTTGTCTGTAAGTTCCAAATGAGAAAATGATGAATATGTTGATGAGAAAAACAAAAGTATTCTCTAATTCTTCATGAACCTTTTACCTATATTGTACTTTAAAATACCATTTAAAAAGGAGCTATTTTTAGCAATGGTAAATAGAAATTTTGGTAGATTCTGGTGATTGTTTTTATAGACCTATTGTTACTGGCAGAACTGACTTAGCTATTATGTTATATTTTCCCAAGACTGAATTAGACTTACATGAGCAGATGCCCTGACATAGCTCAAGAATAATCTACCTTATGGTAATCAACAATGATATAAAAAAAAAAAACATGATGTCTAAATGTTTAAGTACAAAATACAGATGTATGCGTATATATTGCTGTTCTTTTTTTTTTTTTTAGACATTTCATTCAGCATATTGCTGTTCTTAATAAGAGTCTTGGGTACAACATTTTTTAAATGCTACACTGAATATAAAATGTGCAAAATAGGATTGTTTTTTTACAATAGCCACTCATGATAACCTTTTATTTAAATGTCTTTAAAATCATGACTAAAAATTGTAAAGAAAATAAAGAATTTTTTTTTCTTATTCTGAAACAGAAACTTGATCTGGAACAAAATTCACAAATCAAATACTCCTGGAAAAAAACAACTGTATTTGTCCCCAACTTCTGACATCTGTCTTGATAAATGCCACACATGATGTGAATAAGCCCCCTTTTTAGCAGACCCCTCTCCTCGGGCAGCCAACACTCACCTGCTGATGCCTCCTGGCTTTCTCTAGGTCCAGTCCACCATCTGGAGCACAAGTATCAGCCAGCAGTTCTTCAGCTTCCGTTAGCCACTGTGCCAGGTCATTAAGGTCACAATCGAACTGTCTCCATTCTTCCACAGCTCTATCAAGACAACTGGAGGACGACAAACTAAGTAACAGGTGATAAACTTCCCAGGAGTACCCAAAAGCAATTTTTTGTAAAGGAAATTCAAATTTCATGTAAAATGAAAACCCCAAAACGAGGGAATTCACAGCTCACAGCTCTGCAATACCAGTTTTCGTCATGAATTACAGTTAATAACTCCTCTTAGAGAAACCTGCCTCACACCGGGAGCTAAGCAGGCTGCACACTACCATCCCCGCCCCTCTCTCTCACATCCCTGCCTGCACATACTAGGCAGCTTTTCAGTGTAAGACAGACTTCCCTGACTTGGAAAATCAAGATTGATTAGATTCACCCAACCAACTTTACACACTTAACATTTCAAATGCATTGAAATCTAAAATATGATTAATTATCCTAATCTCGTAGGAGGGAGAACTTGACTTCCAAGAAAAGTTAGTCCTCAGCTAGAACAAAACCAAAAGACAAACCTTAAAGATTTTTGTCAATCCATTACCTCTCTGTTCTGGATAGAACTGTGTCCCCCAAAATGCATATGCTGACACTCTAACCCCCAGTGGGACTATGCTTACATAAAGGCCATTCGAAAGGTACAGTTCAGTGAGGCTCCGCAGGTAGGGTGCTCATCCCAAAGGACTGGTGAGAAGACAGATGCCAGACAGAGCTCTCCTTGCTCCTAACCCCACAAAGCACAGAGGAACAGCCAAGTGAAGTCACAGAAAGAGGCAGCTGTAGGGCCTCCCTGGTGGTACAAGGAGTTAAAGCACAGCACTATGACACTATCCTCAGCCACTGTAGCATGAGTTCAATCTCCAGACAGGGAACTGACCCACATGGGGCGGCAGACCTCTCCTGACCTGCCCGCTGCTCCCCTCAGCAATGTATTTCGGCCAATCCTCCAGCTCCCTGCTCTGTCGCTGTCAATCCTTTCACCCCACCCCTAGCACCTCTGGCCCATACCCCACTTCTGGCATGCATTAATAAATAATTAAAAAAAAAAAAAAAGACAAAAAGACAGCTGTGTCTCAGTCTTTAAGAGGGGCATTACCGGAAACTAACCCTTGGACTTCCAGATTCTATAGCTTGAGAAAAAAGTCTCTTGTGGAAGCCACCTATCTATGGTATCTTGTTAATGCAGCCCCAGCAGACACCCTGTGTGTGATGACTCATCCTGAGTGCCCCATTTACCTGAACACAGCTCAGCATGAAGTGCCTGCGAAGTCCAGAGCAGGCAGTGAGGCACAGGGCTATCAAAATTCCTAAATAGACCTAACTCCTTTAGATATGACATGACGTAAAGCTCCAGGGCTTGTCATATTTGGAGCACAACACAAGTATAAAAAGAAACAGCTTTTTTGGCTGAGGAGCCTTAAGAATTGCCTTTTTTGTTAGGGTAGTTGTGTTGAGAGGTTTGGAAGAGATCTGTGAGATTTTAATAATACTCGCAAAATTTTGTATCAGAAAAGCAGGGTTTTACCTAAAATGGTAAAAAAAGATCCCTGATGTGGCTAATTACTAAATAATGTTTCTATTTTCTCTGCCCATGAAAGTCATTTTGAAAGTTCAGTTAGTATTTGCTGACTGCCCACGGGTACAACATTCAATGAGTGACAAAAACAGGGGCACTTCCACGTAAACACAGTGAGATATCAGTCAGACCATCCTCAGTACCTTTTATAAAAATGCACAATAGGGCTCTTCCTGGTGGTACAACTGGTTAGGACGCAGCACTGCAAGAGAGCTGCAGCCACCTCAGTGAAAGTTTGATTCCCGCCTGCCCCAGAGCTGACCCAGAGGCGCGGCAGACCTCTCCTGGCCCGCCGCTGCTCCCCTCAGCAGTGCACTTCCTCGATCTGCCTGTTCTGCTCCCCACTCTGTCTCTGGTAAAGCCTCTCACCATCCCTGTACCTCTGGCTTGTACCCAATTCTGTATAAATAGAGAAATAAATCTTTAAAAAAAGAAATCTGTTTATTCTTATAAAAAATACACTATTCTTATTTAAAACAAACACAAATTCTGACTTTCAAGTTGCCACAATAATGAACAGAAATCATTACTAAAAAAGATTTTACAGAGATCTAAAGACTTTGAGAATACAAATATTAAATTAGTAAAGAGGACTATCGTTACAATCCAATATATAATTCAAATTAATTCAAGCAGCTATGGGTTCAATAGGGAAGGCTTGAATAAAAGAGAGGAGATCCGCATCAGGTAGGATTTGTAAAGTCAACAACTCCTTGAGCTAATCCAGCCAGCTGGGATGGGGAGGCAGCATGGCTCCCCAAATCCAAACTCAGTTTGGAGTTGAACTAGAAACATGTTTGCTATATCTGAAGTTCCAAATGGCCTGCTGTCCCTCCCCACAAGTTCATTCCACTACCGACATTCTCTGTCCCTGGAAATGGTACCTTCATTACTACCTAGGTCTTTGAGCCAAAGACTTGAGGTCATTCTTCATTCACCTGTCTTCCACCAGTTACCATATGTGACCCACCCACCAACCAATCCGCTTCCACAGCAACTTCCCTAGTCAAGTTACCCTATGTGACAAGCACAGACTATTCTCCTAACTTCAGTCTTGTTCTCAACCAATTCTTCCCACCATCAATAAGTTCCTTTGTCGTTTCCTTATGAAATATTGTGATGGCTCCCTATAGTTCTCAGAGTAAAACACAAATTGCTTCACATGATGCACAATCACCCTCTGCTATGGTCCTATCAAAGCATTCTCTTTCATCTCTCTGTCAACATGTATTTGATCTTGATTTTGGTCAGTGCTTTTATAAGCTTTTTAACAAAATAAAACCACATATTAACTTGGCTGACACATACCCTTTATGATCATTGTACATTCTGTTAACTCTGTCCCATTTTGCATTCAGCTGAGTAAGTGTGTCCCGGATCTGAATGGCTTCAGGTCCAGAAGCTTCAAGGATAACATCTGGCTGTTTTTCATGAATGACTGCAATCTGTTCTCCGAGTTTGTCCAGTTGGTCCTTGATATTCTACAAAATATTGCCATTCGTTAACAAAACCCATCTAAGAATAAAGCAACAGAATTACACATAACCAGGTATTTATATGGCACAGTACATTATAATCTAAATTATGATGAAACAAAATAATTGCTATTCATCAAAACGGAAAACTTATTAAAAATAAATAAGATCCTATAAAGGTCTTAGAGTGAAGAATGTTACATAATATTCAAATGGTGGCAACAAAAATCCTCACAGATGTTGAAACTGCTATTTGGACAGGACAAATAAAAAACTTCAATAACATTCTACAAAGGCAATGTTTGAAGCTGTAATCATTTACATTTCAAATACCTCATAATGCTAATTAAATGACAGAAATGCGTTATCACAGTATTAGCAATTTTATTCTGACTTTTTACATAAAGGTAATCAGACTGCACAAAAGTCCTTGGTGTTATTCAATAGGTTTGTTAATTAACTAAAACTTCCAGATACCATGTTAACTTACAATCATGTATCATTCCATACTTCAACAACTAGCCAATCTTAAATCATTAATGATGGTACACTAAACACTGACATTTTACATCAACTAACAAATACAGGTATAGGAAATATGGCCTGTGCATGTCTGATTTAAAAAGTCCCTGATGTTGTGAAAAGTAATTGTGTGCTTAAAAATTCATATATATCTTGTCTTTAATTTTTAGTGGAGTGACGTTGCTTTATAACATTATTTAAGTTTCAGGTATGCATCATTATAAATAAAAGTTTGCATTTATTAAGTTCACCACTGAAAGTAAAAAATTAAAATTGTTGGTATTTCAATGGTGACTACCAGAAAGATTTGTAATTCATATACATTACTAATTCTTTGGTTATAGATCTTCTTCATATAAAAGTTATAAAATCATCTAGGTGGGAACCATGACAAAGTCTCCCCTTTTTTCTTTATTAACTACACTTAAATCAATGAAGTGCCTAGAGATTTACCTTTAGAGAATCTTCTTGAAAAGAGAAATCTTCAAGAACAACAGTACTCAGATCTGGAGTATTAAGTGATAATTCAACATCATCCATGGAAAGTAAAACTTTGTTAATTTCAACTACGTAATCTGTGGGGAGAAATGCTGATCTAATTCCAGAAGCAAGTTGAGTTGTTTTTCTTGGGTGAAGAGGGGTTACCTGTAAAAAACATTTAAAATAACATTAATCCACACCTCTAAAAATATCCCCTCAATGTATAACAAGTCGGAAAAAAAAAGAAAAACCACAAGACTGTATTGCTGAGAAATTCAATAAATACCATGACCCAAAATCAAATATCCTACATAACATGAATATCCTATAAAACACATTAGGTCCCAGCATGCTAAATCATACAGATTCTACACTGTCACAGAATACTGTGAACCCAGAATATTGTGTCCTACAGTCAAGAGTGTTCTAAATGAGTACTTAACTCCTAGATGGCTAGAATTTAATAAATGCTTTCACTACTTGCAAAGACCAAAGTGCATTTACCCATGAATTAATGTATCTTCCTTGACTCTTACTATATTCCTAGGGTGACCTAAAAAACTATCCTTCTGTATATTCAAAGATAATAGTGAAAATTATCATAACTATAAATTCATTAAGTTAATGCTCCTAGAAGTGGTACAATTCCTAGATGAAACGAAGTTTCAAAACTAACGACACTAAGTCAAAAACATGGTGTTCTATCTAATTCTACATGATTTGTCTCCTACATTGAAAACACACACACACACACACACACACACACACTTTCACCAATTGAAAGAGGCCAGGTAGAAATACACTTCTGGATTCCCTGACTTCATCCACAGGATTATTTAGACTTCCCAGTATCAGTATTTTATTATCCTAATGCTACATGTTCACATTTTATTCAAAAAGCATTTCTAGATATTTACCCATATGGCTGAGAATATAAATTATTTTTTAAATAAATACAAGAGAATTTTGTAATAAAAAGATGTCCACCCAGAAACCAGTTTTAAAAAAAGACACTGAATAATTTTTTTAAGAAAAACTTTTACATAATTCTTTTCAGAGTTTAAAATTAAATAGACATTGGGGGGGGGGAGACCACCATAGAAAACTCAATTATTCCTCTGCTTTAAGGAAAAGAAAATAATAAAGGAGTTTTATAGCTGAATAATCATGTCAGAATGCTGTAGTAAGAAGCTGGAACCCATTCTCCTGCTTGACTTTTTCACCTTTGAGAGAAAATCTGTTTCTCTGAAACCTTCACTGGTAGAGACGCCAGATCCCCAGCGATGAGCTAAGTGATGGAGCACACAGCCTGCAGCAGGCTGCTCCTCAGCACCACGGCTCACTTCAGCATAACTGCTGAGACCCCAGACCCAGGACCACCCTAGCAACCTCTCTGCCTCATGCTCTACACAGCAGGCTGTCACTCTGCGAGCCTGTGTGTGCCTGAGGCTAAGGGTAAATAGAAGGCCTGGAGCTAATGTACAAAGAAATGTCCTGAGTTTGGGAAAAAAGCATATCAATAGCACCGTATTTTTCTATTCAGATTAAAAGGTTATCCAGGACTCCCTAAGCCTCCAAATTCTTGGAGCAGCCTCAAAACTCAAACATGTGCTTTCTCTATTCCCAGAATAGATTTATCCCAAGAGAATGATCAATCAAATCGCCCTAGGAGAAAAAGCAATCCCTGAAGTCTGACCCAGACATCACCTCCAGATAATTTTGTTTTTCAAGAATTCTACTAGGACTCACACACAAAAAGACAAATATACTACAAAGTGGCACTAAAAAGTGGCACTACATGATATAGGTCATGTCATACAGCAAGCTAAATCCCAGAGTAAGTGGTTTATTTAACTTTTCTAAGTTTTGCTTTTATCAAAATGTATGAAAAAACTGGAGCAACACAAATTTGAATATTCAGCAACTCTCTGGAGACCAAATATGTTTAGATCACAAAACACCAAAAAATCATGAAGGAATATATAGTCATGTATGGATAAACAAAAATTTTAAATGGTTGCGTGTTAAAGATAAATTAGGTAGAAGTTAAAATCAGAAACATTTTATGGCAAATATAAAGAGGTAAGTATCTGTATTGTATAAAGCACTTGTACATATTTTTAAAAATATATTAATACTCTAATAAGCAAATGGAAAAAGGTCATTAGATGCAAATTTCAAATACTAAAAAAAGATGAGTCCTGGAAAATGGTGGTTCTTAATTCTGACTACACATTGGAATCAGCTAGGAAAAAAAAATTAAATGCTCATATCTAGGCTGAATCTGAAAGATCTAACTGGTTTGGAGGTAGATTTGGGAATCTGATTTCCTTAGAACCCCTCCAAGGGATCGAGTCGGGGGAAAGGATGTCCTGAAGGAACTCTGCAGATACAGGTTTGCGGACTCCACCCCAGACACCAGAACTACAAATCCCAGCATCACCAAAGGGAGGATGCTGCGACCCAAGGGTGGAGATAAGCATCCATGTTTTGATAAAACATGGACATATGGACTTTGGGGTCTCTTGCCTCCTGGCTCCTGGCTCATCTCTTAAGCTTTTTGCTGGCTTTCAGTGTGCCACTGGGGTTCCAGGACAGTGGACCTGGTAAGACGCATTAACCAACGTGTCTCTCTCTCTTTCTTTCCCTCAGTTATTCATGTCCCTTTCTCTCGTAAATAAACCCACTATTAACCTTTTTGTGTTGCCTGAAGTTGAATCTTATAAGTCCCTTTAGGCACACAGTGAGGACCCACAGTCTGGCTACCCAATTCACACTTGGTTGCCCTGTAACAATTCCAGTGTTCACTCTTAGCAAATAGTTTTCAAAACCACAGATTTGAAGAAGCATGTGGATTTTAAAAAATAAGAACAAAGTATTTTAACTACAGTAACTAATGCTAGTGCCATCAAACTGAAATGAACCTGTAGTATATATTACAGAACATTTTAGTACTTCTGAAAAACGTATGTATATATGTACTAAAAGCCCCCAAATCACTTCTGGTTTGGACCAGTAATGATTTCTGATTTGGCCTGAACTCTTAAAAAAAATGCACTCAGGAGAAAGATCACTTTTAAAAGTAACAATGAAGCAAAATATAATATCTCCTGGAAGATTTCAGGAATAAAAGTGGAGTGGAGACTTAAAAATAACAAACTTTCCATGCCTTAGAGGATGACAAAACCTTCTGCAATGAAGAAGAATAAAACTGATCAGATCCCAGAGTGGAATGACTAGGTGCTTTATTTGGAGGGGAATGCAGAGAAATTAAACACAGCTGCGCCACATGGTGATTAACGAATCAGAGAAGCTGAGGTCAAAACTAGTAATAAGGCCAGCACATAAAGCTTGTGCTGTATGTTGTGATATTTTCCTGAACAGTTTCTTTAGATAAAGAAATTACATGGTCAGTTAAAACTCCAGGGTAGAGGAGACAGATAATTCTGAGGAAAATAGGGAGGGTGGGTTAGCATTAAGAAAATCAAGACACAGGGCTCTCCCTGGTGGCGCAATGGGTGAAGGCTCAGCACTCTGAAGCTGGCCACAGCTGCTTCAGCACAAGTTTGATCCCCGGCTCCAGAGGGGTCCACCTCTTGTGACCCATCCACTGCTCCCTTCAGCACTGTACTTCATCAATCTGCCTGTTCTGCTCCCCACTCTGTCTCTGGTGAATCCTCTCAACCCCCGCACTCTGGCCTGTACCTGCCCTGTACCCCAGTTCTGTCTGTATAAATAAATGAAATGCTTTCTAAAAAGAGAAAATCCAGACATAAGAAAACCAGTGGTGGGCACATTACAAAGCTCTGGGAAGAAAGCTGTGAGTCTGAACTACAGAAAGGATAGTGACTAATGTAAAGCTGGTTCTAGAAAGATGAGCAGACCAGACTCCTGGGAGTCCCTCACTCTGGGAGCCCCACACGTTTGCAGTGCAGTAAGGAAGACAGCCCTTGGAGAGGGGGCTCAAATGAACTGTTTTCTTAAGTAGAAGTCATAATTTATCAATTTACCAACTTTGATTTTTTTTTCCCCAACATGGTCAAGGTGTCCACAAAGTACAGAACCAAAGGAGGAAGTTAGTTCTTAAAGGGATCCATTAATTCTAGGTTTAATACTTGATTAGAAAGAGAAGCCCACTAATAACACTTTGTTTCTATTTTCTTTGAGTCTGGCCCCATCCCCAAATATCAAATTTATCTAGTAATACACAGTAGGAAGGAGGAGATACTGTTTCAAGTGATCTGTCTCCTCCATGAATTCTGCAGCAATCATGTGAACGGCACAGCAATCATGTGAACGCAAGAGCAGAATAAACCATGGAAAGGAAACATGGCAATACCCCCGTGGCAATACCTTAGTTCTGTTGTATTTTTTGTGTAAAAGTAATAACTGCGAGCGGATCTTTTCTTTTTTATTGTCCTCCATAGGTTGACATAACATTTGCTCTCCTCTTTGAAGAACTTTCTCAATCTGCATGCTCTCCTCATCCATCTGAATGTTTAAAAGAAAAAATTTACTCCAAAGAACAATGCATTGGGTCACTTGCTATCAGTCCCCAAGTCTGAATTAACCCACAAAGTCTGTCAATATGCGTTCATCTGAATGAAATACCACCGAACATGTACGTATTCCTCAAAACGTTTCAGACTGGATTTAAGATACCTCCTGATGAATGCTAGACCCACAGAAGTCAGACAGCACGAAGATAATATCTTTGGATAGATTTATGCATTACGTCAGTCACTTGGCAAACTCACATTGACACTCGTCAGAGAACCACATTTGGATCACTTCTGTCATGTTTGGCAGATTATCTGGGCAAACATGTTTACATCTTTGATGTAAAAATATAATGAAGAAAAATGAAACAGGATTTTCAAATCTCCTTGAACTGACCTTTTCATCTTCATCACTGGATTCCAAATGTTTCTCCACAAGTTTTAACATATTTTCTATATCATTTTCTAGGATTTTCAATTCAGAGAAAGGCACTTCTGTTTCACATGTCTCGGTGGTGACCAGACTTTGGTATGAAGATGGATCCTGTCCAATCAGCAGCTGTAGAAGGAAGAGTGTTTTTTGAAAATAAATTCTTCACTTGACCTTCTGCCATGAACCAGGAAAGGTACTAGTATTTATTTGAACTGTCTTATTTCATTCACTTATATAGGAATAATTTTATCCATTTGGGTTTACTGGAATTATCCAATAATTTTTTCCAAACTCTGCCCAAGAATAGAAAAATGTGTGTGAATGATGTGACAACTTGAAATGCCATATAAGAGATTCTGAGACTACATGTGTGCACAGGAGAAAGAAGTTCCACAATCCATCCCCATGACTTTAGACAAAAGAAATGGCACCAACTAGCTCAGGTTCATTCTAAAGAGTATCTCCCAGTTCAATTTGCTCAGTGAAAGTGATCTTGGATTTTGACACCCAAACTTCAAATACATGTTTCTTTTTGTAGTATTTTCAGACAATACTGAAAAACTTGATGTTTATTGGTTGAAAGCAATGTAATAATTCACTCTCACCTCTGATTATAAAGGCCTAAATTGTCACCTCTTAGCAGAACTCTGGGAAATATATGCAATAATCCTTATATGTACAACTTTTTTTTTTTTTAAGATTTATTTATTTTTGCTTGCATACAGAGTTGCGGAACAGGCCAGAAGTGCAGAAGTGGTGAGAGGATTCACCAGAGGCAGAGCAGGGAGCAGAACAGGCAGATCGATGAAGTACACTGCTGAGGAGACTAGCAGGCAGGTCAGGAAAGGTCAGCCACAATATGTGTGTCACCTCCCTGGCTGGGGCCCGAATTCATGGTGAAGAAGCTTTAGCGAACTTCATGGTGCTATGTTCCAACTAGCTGTGCCAGCACGGAGGTGTACAACTACATTTACAACTTTTGCAATAATTTCAATGCATTCTAAAAATTAAGCTTAAGAGCATACTTTTGCAATAATTTCAATGCAAAACTTTTGCAATAATTTCAATGCATTCTAAGAACTGAGTTTAAGAGCACACTAAGAATTGAGAAAAAAGACATACATAAAAGATTTCAACAAAGTAGTAGTTACAAAAGCCCAATGAACGAGTAAAATTGACCTAGAATAATATTACAACAGATCATGCAAAGAAAACTCCAGTCATGAAAAACCATGTCATAGGTCTTCAGTCTCAGAGAAGTCTTTGTGGACTCTGCTCTAATGACAAAGAAAACAAAGGCACAAATAAACAAGTGGCAGTACATCAAACTAAAAAGCTTCTGCACAACAAATAATACTATCATGAAAACAAAAAGACAACCTATTGAACGGCAGAAGATATTTGTGTGTCACGTATTCAATGAGGTCAATTTTACATTTTTAAAATATTACAAAAACTCCTATAATTTGACAACAACCAAAAAGCAGATTTAAAAAATGGTCAAAAGATCTAAATAGACATTTCTCCAAAAGTGGCATACAGGTAGGTGGCAATAGGCACATGAAAAAATGTTTCCCTTTTCTTATTGTTAGGGAAATGTAGACCAAACAACAGTGAGCTCTCAACTCATGCCTACGGCTATTAACCCAAAGATAAGAAACAGTAAGTGTACAAGAAGGAAATATTTGTACACTGTTGCTGAGTATATAAATGGGTGCTACCTCTATGAAAAAAACAATATGGAAAGCCCTCAAAAATTAAAAACTAAATAGAAGTTCTATACAATACCATGATCTTATCTCTGGGTATTTCTTTAAAGAATATAAAAAACACTAATTTGCATACCCATGTTCTTTGCAGTACTGTTTACAACAACCAAGAGTTAGAAAACACCCAAATACTCATCAATAGATGGTTGGATAAAAAAACATGTGGTATTGACAGGTGGTAGAATATTACACATCTATAAAAAATGTATTACCCTGACATTTGCAACAACATGGATGGACTAGATGGCATTTTGTTAGTAAAATAAGTCAGATGAGGGAAGACAAACGTCATATGATTTCACTCGAGTGATGCAAAAAGAAACAACAACACAAAGGCACAAGTTAAACAAAACAAAAGTATATGTTTAGACTATAAAGAGCAAATTATTGCTATTAGAGAAAGGGGAAGGAATGAGTGTCAACTGAGTAACAGGGTTGTCAACCTGGGTATAGGATGGAGCTGGAGAATGTTGAACTTACATAGTAGTAGAACAGGTAGATATTGTAAACAGATATACAACAATGCATGCCTGAAACTTATATAATATTAAATACAATGCCGTTTCAATAAAAAATATATTTAAGGCCCTCCCTGGTGGTACAACAAGTTAAAGCACAGCACTGCAAAGCTGGCCTGGCTGGTTCAGTGCAAGTTTGACCCCCGCCCCAGAGTTGATCCACATGGTGCTGCAGACCTCTCCTGACCCGCCCGCTGCTCCCCTCAGCAGTGTACTTCTTCGATCTGCCTGTTCTGCTCCCCACTCTGACTCTGGTGAACTCTCTTACCATCCCTGAACCTCTGGCCTGTACCCCAGTTCTGAATGCATAAATAAATAAATCTTTAAAAATATATTTAAAATGCATATTATAAAAATCATGTCAAAGAAGAATATAGAAAACAGGATTAAAATTTGGTATTTCAATACAACATGTATCTGAGTAACAAAAGACAGGTATATCAAAATGTTAACAAAGGTTATTTATGAGGATAATAATTTTGTTTTTTTTTTACTTCCTTTCATTCCATTTCTATGTCTTGTTCATTATGCTTTTATATAAGAAAAATCACCCACAGATCTATTGGAAAGAATAAGTGAGTTGAGATTTGATGGTGAAAATGTAAGGTCAAAACTAAGGAAATCAAAAGTTGAAACAAGATTTTGGGATTCTTTTAGGTGTAAATAATCTCAGAATATTCACAAGCCATGAAAGATAGTTTGTTATATAGGATACTCCAAATTAAAGCAGAGCTGGAGAAGTGACTTCCTGCAAGAGGAGACTTTTATAGACGAGTTCAATACTTCAGTGCATCACTCTCATCTAATGGAATAACTGAATACTCAATAAAATGCCATGCACAATTGGGGTCCAGGAAAATGCAGGATCCTGTCACAAGGAACACCTGTGTGGGTAACCCCCAATGTCAGTCACACTGTTCTGTCTTCTCCCAGAAAACCATCAAAATGTTTCCAGTCAAATGGAAATATCACTTCCAAGAAATGAAATGTCAAACCTTGAGAACACTACAATAAAATGTTCATTTCTTCCTCTCATGAGATAAGAGGGAGAATGTGAAAGACACATCTCACAGGGAGAGAGAAATTATGATATGGTAATAAGTAAAGAGATTTTTTTAAGGAAAGGTCCTCTCAATTAAATTTATAAAGCACCTTTAAATTTAGAAAACCAAGTAACAGTTTTGTACATTAGGTCTAATTGTGAAATTTACATACAACACTTTGGCGTGGCAACGTGTCAAACTGACAGCTATAAAATAATGGGTGTAATAGTCATGCCAAACTTGGGAATTAGTCAACATTATTTTATAGCTAACTTAATACTTGACTGAAGTTTTGAAATCTTTCTCAAATGCATTATTTCTTAATACTGCTCGCTTGGCTTCTCTCCTTCCCATGCACAATTGCAAATAAGGAAAAATACTTCATTCCATGATGTCAAAACCTTTGACATCAATGCCTCTATCGGTTAGACAGAGACACAGAGGAAAAATAGTACAATAGCAAAAATACAATGACTCACTTTGGCACTTCTGATGTGCTGAGATACCTTCTCCAAGTTTCTATTCAGCTCCGCTAACTTGGGTTCCACGAGCTCCTTGCCAGAGCCGCCTCGTGCACTCATCAGAACAGCGGCTTGATCTCGGACATTTTCCACTTGGAGATGGGTTTCATCCAGCTCAGAAACTAAACGCTAATTAAAAGAAAACACAGAATTACCTCATGGGATAGTCATAAGCAGG